ACGCTGTGCTATTAGATTCCGACACCATTGCACAATATGCGTACACATATCGACGGATATTCATGCATTTATTTTTGTTGATACCTTTATATATTTTAATTTGTCTATGCTCTAAATTCTTGTATATTCTTGTATATCTTAATATGTTTTTATTTCAATGTGTTTTCTTTTGTTTGCGTATATGTTTCATTCTGTTCATTTCCTGCAATATTCTGGTGGTCTGCAATAACTGTGCGGTCGATGGCCACGTTTTATCTGAAATCGTTGATAATGAATTTCCGGGTTCACCTTTTGTTTATGAGCTAGGCCATTTGGAATCTCTTTATGTGTTGACGATTTTAAGTGAAGTCTTTTTTACCGCTCTTGATTTTGGTCATGTATTTTCGCGTATTAGGCACTGGATGTTTCGGAAGTAAAAGATGGTCACCTGCATCGCTATCGCCATTGGATTCTGGTCGGATTAACAATGTCCTGTATGCTTTCTCTGGTCATTCAATTTCCGAAGATATATACCGTGTCTTGTCATGATGAAGCAAGCTCCCTCGTGCCCGATCTTTTGAACGTCTTTTGGTGACAGTGTCCATCGTTCTCTGGGTACCAGTTTCCGAGTACTGCGCTTGCCGTACAAGCGGTTTCTGGCCATGAACACAGCCACCATCTACACTTGCACACTGTACTGTCGTCGGAATTTCTGAGGCGGCGCCCCACAAACCGGCGGCGTTTGAGGCGATTTTGCTTGGTCTCTGGGTCGAAACTGTACACTCAGATTTCATCACCACTGATGATGTTCCAAACTGGATTGCAATGTCCACCATCAAGCTTGGCAAGCATGCTGTGGCATCAATTCACAAAAGTTGCCTTCTGTAGCTCACCGAACTCATGGGGTACCCAGCGTGCACAAAGCTTTATGTCGTTGAGCTTCCATTGTAGTATGTTGGTCATTAAGGCGCTGAAATCCTGATTGCTTTCGCCAACTGAGCCGCTATCACCCACCCATCCTCCTCCGGCATCGCAATAGATAGCATTTTTTGTTTTCACTGCCCGGTTACCTTCACCTAGCACGTGTACTGGGTATCCGGAAACATTTTACGCAGCCCTCGTGTGTGAACTCTGCTCATTATTGAGACCCGTGAAGGGAGTATTCAGTATATATATTGTATATTCGTGGTTCGTTTGCGTGTTGACATGTCTCTCGTGTGTGTGGGTGTGGTGTTGGTACAAGTCAAGGTGAGTTTATCATGGACTCGGATCGATGAAACTGGTGAGAACCTTTACAACTTCAAGTGAATCCAACCAATTGCATTTTACGGAACCCCAAATGTTATTGGTTCTTCTACCGTCACACTTCGCCGACTGAATCGGGTCCACCAAAACACCCTCCAATCGGGGTGAATTGATTACTTCACAGACAAACAAAAAGCGTTTGCACAGGATCACCACAGGAGAATCAGTTAAATTCTATAAATAAAAGTTTATGCAACGATGGCATTGTGTCAAACCCTGACCGGTCGAAGATACCGGTAATAAGCGTGTGCCAAAAACATGTCATATTCATACGATCGATCGGGTTCATTTATCAGTCGATCAAAGTGGTCGAGTGTGGTGTCAAATTTGATTTGCTTGTGATGCATTTCCTTCATTAAAGTGGGAAATGAAAATCCTGATGATGATATGCGCTATCAATGTTAAGTGCATTGAACTACGTCCCGGGTTCGAAGCTGAATTTGTCCGACAATATATATATATATATATATATATATATTGTTGGACACGGGTTATTCAGTAATATCAGGTAAATGGATTTTGGGTGTGAAATACGGCTCTCGTAAGCAAATTCAATCGACCATGCACAAGTTGGTTATACGGAACCGGTCTAGATAAACAGTAATTGGGCAACATCTTGACGTAACGATATGAACGTCTCATAAATCGTGTGAGGTTTCTCGATAGGGGTCCTCGGAGTCGACCATATGATACCCCTTGGAATTGACAACTTCACCCGTGTATAACGTATACTCATTTTCGATGACTTAGCTCTGTGGAACACTCTCTTCGCCTTTATTCTAATAAACCAAATAGGTGACCAAACGACAGCAACTAAAAATGGAAGGGTGGAAAAGCATGGTTTCAGCTTTTTAAGAATTGAAATGGGCTAAATCCACAAGTTGGAAAAATCCGCAGTGATTTTAGGGATTCCCACTCAAGCTGTGCCGCTTCCGATTTAATTTGAGAGAATATTATGGTATGAACCTCTTACCGTATACATGAAGTATTCAAAGTACAAAACGGCAGTATTTTGTCATACAATAAAACTACTTAAGTCGTCCAATTATGTTTCATTTGTTGAAGATTTATTTATCGGGTTAGCAATTTTGCTCAAAACTGAATTTGAATGTTACCTCTGATTTGCTTTTGAGTTCGCAGATTGGGTTTTCAAATGTTTCCTTACCACTCCTGAGCGAAACTTTGACTAAAGTGAAAAATTGTTTATGCACCATACTTTGAGAAACGGTGTTGAAGAATTATAGTTACTTGTGATTGGCCTCTCATATTTATCACCGTTCATCCAAATGTCACCTGTTTTATCTAGTTTGTCACACGACCTAACCTCATCACATGTGACATTCAAACCAAACCATGGTGGGTCGATAAGTTTGGCCTGTCCCGGTTGACCATGGGGCACCGGTGTACTGACGAAGGTTCGAGCTATAGAACACATTTGATAGAACTACTGCCAAAATAAATAAATCGATCAACTACGGCAAAGTTAACTTTCTCGAGTTTGCGGATTTCTGTGGATTTTTCCAAACATGTGCGACCCAGAGGCTGAGCGATGGACCGATTCGGAACCACAGTCAATGAATTCTAGACATACTGATGATGTGTCGGAAACTTTCAATCAGTGCAATACCGCTCCGGTTGGATCCCCAGATGATACACACACCGAGTCGAAAATGCAAGCTTACGATACATTGTCCGCGGAACTAACAGGATTCGATCGATATTTGTGCAGATTGCACACCAATTTGGATTCACGTTATCCCATCCCATCATCCGTTGCTTCAGAACTGAGAAAACTACCGCCATCGGGATCGACAAAATCGGCTATTTTGGCCGCAAAACGTCTGGGACCCAGTTTTATTCCTTGCAGTTCACATCGAATACCTGAATCAGACCTAATAAGTAACGAAGCGTTGATGTTTGCACAGAAACGGGAAATACCAATCAGACTAAAATCCAGAGATTGGCGTGAGTTGTCAGATGTCTTGCCTCCTAACACATTTAAGTGTTCAGTCGATTTGGAACTCAAAAGGCAGATAAACTTAGTTATATAATTTCCACTATAGAAGGAAAATGTCTTAGGTAACTGTTAAAAGCATATCCTCAAATGGTGAAAACTAAGCGTGTTCACTAAAATAGTTTGATGACAGTAGTAGGAAAAGTCCCAACTCACATGGTATATATATATATATGTATATGTATATATTCCATTATATGTTTGTCAGAAGTAGATGCACGAACACCACAGTTGACAAAACCGACTTATTTCGCTCAGTCTGTAATCAGGAACTCAAATAAGAGCNTAAGAGCTGGGAAGCCTTAGGTGTCAAACACAATGATGTTCACAAAACACCTGCTTCATTGATTTACTCTAATTCATAGTTCGCTCAACATTGATCTTTATCTTATGAAAAGCGTCCACAGCAGTCATCTTAGATAGGCCAAGCCTTGCTGGTTACTTGCATACCAAATTCGAGGGCGGAACACTTAAATAAGTTCTCCGCCGTAACTCGCTTTTGCTCTCTGTGTAACGAGTGCTTATCTTGTACCGTTGTCGCAACAAACTGCCATAGAGTGTAAATAACGACACTGAAAAACTGATTCCACGTAAGTGCTATGTATCCGTAGCATATGCGTCGATTTCCCCCCGGTTTTCAAACACTTGGATTGTTATTTGACTAGTTCACAGTCAGAAGCCAGGCTCAAGCATAGGAAAGAGAATACCCGAAACATACTCCCCATGTCGCTGCTGAGCGATTGATGATGATACCCGGGGTTCGAGTACACAAATTACTAGATGAGACATTGCTGGATACACGGATTATCCCTTAAAAGTACAATACCACCTTCATATTCTATAGACCAAACAACTTGCCTCCGGCAATTATGTCCATACTCTGGTCGTGTGAGAGAGAAAGAGATGAACTCAGGCACGCTTTTCAAACGAATGATGGGCAATCACCTGGGTTAAAGGCTGTTTGTGGTTCCAAAGAGAAAGAACTGATGAGCCTACCTAGCAAATAATTGAGCTCCAACATCCAAAGTAGAATATGGGTATACCATATGCAGCTAATTGAGGGCCACAGCTAACCAATAAGCCTCAAGGATAAAGCAGGTTAGTTTTCTAAGAATGAACCTGTTTTTAACCTCCTCAATACTTCATTATAGAATCTCAACATTTCGCGTCACGAATTTTTTTATCATTGGTAGGTTACTTGCATCAAAGTGGAATTTGATTGAAAATGGCATTCTTTTTATGAACATATTCTGAACAAAGACACTTACTGTTTTTTCTGAGAGAAACGCAAATTTCAATGATAAAACCGGCAATTTTGAAGAGGTAGCTAGCTCCACTGTCACCCGGCGCTCCAGCATGCCTATTGCAGTGAGACCTTATATAGGTCACCACCCAAGTCGGGAGACTAACGTTACCAGTTTCTCAAAACCGCTGCATCCTGAATTTGCTCACTACACGCCCACACTGGTGCAAGCTCGCAAACTGTTTTGACAGACATTCGCAGTCTAAATACTAACAAACAGCTACTTCTATATTCCTTATCCTTCCTCCAACAGTTCTAAGTGCTTTGATGTTTTGCATCTTCTTTCCTAGCAACTGAAGATATTTGTTCAATCAAACTTGAACCCACAGACTACCATCAACGTTTACAACAGCAACTCTTTAGTGAACTCAGTGACATTAACGTAAGCAGATTATTAGCAATCTCGATTACATCGAGGTGGAATCATTAACGATTGTAAACAGACTATTGAAATGTGTCACCTACCTCATCCGTGTTCCCGATCGTACAGAGGACAGTGCATTCATCTTTCTCTTGTGGTTCCTCAGAATATTGTATCAATATCTGTAGTTTTTTAATT